CAGAATGGTTGCATTTTTCACTATCATAACCTTACTGTTTTAAGGATTAAGTTTTCCAAATCTATGATATAGAACAAAAGAAACAGACTTTGGTGGTTTAGGGTAAGGGGAGTGGGGAGAGAAGGGAAAGTAAAAATAAACAAAGGAAACAGAGCACTATGGTTTGGAAAACTTTAGGAAGTGGGAGGCAGCATTGTGTTTCTAAGGAGGCTGACAATGTAGCTAGAGTTACTTAGTTATGGTTCTGTGCCTACTTTAAGTATACACATATATCTCTATTTACTTTATATATCAGAATATCGCACATCATAGCCAGACAATTCTTGTAATTGTATTCAAGTTAAAAAGGGATTAGGTAATTGGATTGCTTAACTACGGGAATTACACAAGCAGCAGGATAAGGTGATCAGGTGGATTCCTTTTGATGCCATAATTCCTTTGCCTCAGGGAAGAGTTTTTGAAAAATAAGATGAATCAGTACTAGAAAAACCAGAAGGGAAAGGGAAGGGGGAAGGAATAGAGAGGGTTTCAGAACCGAGGAAAAGATGTACAATGGATCAACCTGGATGATAGTTTTGTTGCTTTTCAAAAAGTCTTAATTGAAAGCATCTGCTTTGTTTAATATGGTAGAATCTAATGTCATGTATAATCACCCCTCACAGCGATAATCATCTCCTCCAACACAATTCTATCCCTAGTCCTTGCTTACAGCCCCTCAATGGCTCTTGTCACTACCCAGTAAAAATCCATGATTCTTAGTCGGATTCTTGGTGACTTGTATTATTCTTTGCCAACTTGTCCACTCCATAGTTAGCAGTTAAGTGCTTTCCTAGCTCCAGGGAAGCAATTTCATAATCTGCAATTTTTTCTTGCTCCCTCCTTGACCGGGAAAACTAGTCTCACCTTTGTTTGTCTTATCAGCCATGATTTACTTTTGAAATTGCTGTCATCTGTCAGGAAACCTTCCCTGGTCCCAGAATCTCCCAGTGCCAGCCCCAGCCCTCCTCAGCTTTGTGCGCAAAAAAATTCAATTTCCTACCCATTTGATAGTCCCTATAATGTTGTTTTATTTTGATGTGTCAGTCTCCTAGCCCCGGTGTTGCTAATTTGATTCTTGTATTCTCACTCAAAACCACCAGTGGTTGGGAGAGAGAAAAATGAGCTTTCTGCTTCTGTAAAGATTCACAGCCTAGAAAACCCAGAGTCCGTTGTACTCTGTTCTTCCGATAGGGTTGCTATGAGTCAGAATCAACTGGATAGCAATGAGACTTTTTAAAAATTCTCAACCATTGTCCCTGAGTGGTGTGAACTGCTGCTACCAAGCTAAGTTGACAAACCAAACTTTGGAGGTTTGAGGTTCAAGTCTTCCCAGAGGGACATTTAAAGGGAGGCCTGGAAATTTACTTCAGAAAAATCAACCACTGAAAACTAAGGAGTCCAGTGCTATTCTGGTGCATGGCTCCACTGAATGCCACCAGCCCTTAGTTCCTTGGGTAAAAGCTGCCAGGATCGGTAAGCTTTGGGCTCCTAAAAGTCACTGATTCAAACCTACCAGCCACTGAGCTGGGGAAAGCTGAGACTATCTGTTTCCCAAAGGACTTACAGCCTTGGAAACCTTGTGTATTGTCACTAAGAATCCAATCAACAAGATGGTAGTGGGTTAGTTCCTGGGTGGTTCAAATGGTTAGGAGCTTCATCACCAGTCGAAAGACCCAGGGTTCAAGCACCCCACCAAAGTCTTGGAAGACAGGCCTGTGATCTGCTTCTGAAATGTCACTACTTTGGAAACCCTATGGCACAAGTCTGCTCTCTGCTAACACAAG